GGTGGAAAGAAATATTGGGAAATCAGGATCTCATCAGAAGTGGCAAGTAAAAATTAGAATGAAATCATTCTTGGGAAGTGAACCAATATCTATATTAGAATTCTAGGGAAAAATAGCACACAAAATAGCCTTAGAAAATAATAATAAAAACAGTTTTAAAGATATAGGAGGAACCCAAGAGAGGCTATACTCTCTGGAAGTGTGAGTAGTACTTGCAAGTCACTAGTCTTCTTTAAGGGCCACCATATGGCAGATCCAGGACACTGTAAATTTCTAAATTTAATTTACTAAATGGGGAATGAGGCAGAATATCGATGGGAAGGAGAATATTAAGGTTTAATCCCAAATCATACATATCAATGTAAAAGAAATGAATAATTCTTAAAGGGTGACAGTGGATATATTTGTTTGTTTGTTGTTTAAGAAGAGAATGAAATTGATCAGAGTTCAAGAAAAAGAAAAAACTATTTTGGACTTTAAAATATTTTTTACAATACCATAGGACAAATTTTAAGTCTACCATGTAGTGAATCAAAGTCTAAACCATACAAAGTGGGTAAAAGAACAGACAAGGGAAGTCAGAAAGGAAAAAAAAAGAAAAGAAAAAAGAAAAGAAAAGAAAATTTGCAATAGTTGTCAAGAAGGCAAGGCAAGAAAGTCATTAGTAGGATAGATTTCCTCACTTACTAGATCTGTGACCTGGATGGTGGGATATGGAGCACGGAGATAAACTTGAAAAAGATACAACATGAGAGGGGAGGGGCAGTTAATATTGGTGGGCAAAGTCATGAGTTTCCAGTGCTGACTACAACAACTTGAGAACTTAGATAATATAAACACGAGCTCTCTTCTCTTTGTAATCTGAAGTTATTTAAAACTCTGAGCATCTGTGCATTATTACTGGCAGGGTATCTGGAACAGTATTTAAATTATTGTAGAATCTATATCAGAATTTGAATTTTATGGCTCTCAAGCGTTGGTGGTTGGAGATGTTCCTTTAAGGACATCTTTTTCCCTGAATGATCTCCCAGAGGACAGAACTCTCAAGGGTGTACCCTAAGAAAGCAGCAAGGCCCATCTATTTTATATAGTATAGCAGAACATAGTTTTTTTCCCAGGACGTAAGACCAGAATGTGACAAGAAAATTCCATGCCTGCAGGACAAGTACAATTCTATGTCTGTTTAATCAAGTTCATTGTGTCTGGGTTCAGCTCAACATGTTTAGATGCATTGAGGTCACCTGAGTTTTGATTTTCACCTGCACCTGACTTAATTAAAAGGAGTAAGCAATACAGTTCAGAATGACTTGTGTGGAACAGGAACATGGGCTTTATCTAACTCGCTACTGACAGAATAGAGAAAAAAAGTTCAAATAGCGTTGTGCCTCAAAATATCCACCAGAAGACATTTTGAGAAAGAGCTAGTGAAAATAAAGTGCAAGATCTTTGACATAGGTCTTATAAGTGACTTAAAAAAAGTCATAAAGAAATTATTTTGGCATTGCATAAATAACTACAAAGGATACGTTTTGAATTCTGTGCACAGCTCTAGTGCCACCGTACAAAGAATAACATATAATAGAAATGGAGACCATATAAATGAGGGCAAATGGGGACTCAAAAATCTTAATTATGTAAAGGCTATTGGAAGAAGTATCTGACCTGGTAAAAGTAGAAGAGCTTAAAGCTAAGAATGGGCTGGGATTTAATAGTGAACAATTAATATAATATATTTCTCAACACAATCATAACTTGCTGAATAGGGCAGAAGCATCTAGTATAAGTGGATTTCAGTCGCAAGTCCAGACAGTAAATTCAAAATAAAAGTGTGCAGATTCATTCAAAGCCGATTAAGGATAGACTTTTTCATACAGTTCACGTTGAGGCTGTCGAACTCTGCCTCAGGAAAGTTATTGGGTTTAAGAACTCAGCAGAGGATTGGGTTTTCTTTCTTTCTTTCTTTTTTTCAGATAAGAAGAATATCTAGAGTCATTATAAGTGGAGATGAATATTTTAGTAGATATTCTAAACTCATAATGATTTAGGTCTTAAGCTGGTATTTAACTATTAAAGGCCCAAATGAGACCATGTATTGTGTGTGTGGCCATGTATTACAGTAGGGGGCAGATTATCCCAAGTTGGTCTATTGCAGAATTTATATGCTTTTCTCTGAACTAGCTGGTACTGGCTAGTGTCTGAGATAGGATACTGAATTTGATATACCTTAGATCTGAAGCACAGATATTTCCTATGTTCCAAATCCCATTGAAATCAATGGGTGGACTCCTACTAACTTCAACAGCCTTTGGATTTTGACCATAAAGTACAGCCACTAAACCAAATGATGAAACGGAACAAGATAGCATTCTTAATTCCTGGCACCCGTCTGTCCTAAGTATTCAGTGTTGTTAAATATTTCTAACAACCATGTAAGGTTTGACTTCCTGATAAGGTAAGACCATTCTTTGCCACAGAAAGCATAGCCAAGTAAATTATATCCAAAAAGCTTTCCAAGAAGGATTTCTACTTTAACACAGCAGAGTTAGTTTCAGTGATCCTTTTGTGGTGTAGTTTTTCTAATTTTGTATTTCCATGCTGGCTGGGAAGCCTATTCTTCAACTGCTTTGCCAGACACCATGATTTCTCCAGGAAATCAGACACTCTGACGGTTTCTTTTTGAGGTAACAGATTGCTGTAAAACTATTTCAGCTGGTTTAAAGGATTTAGTTTTTCCTTGGAATACAGAATTCTAATATTTAGTACTGCCATTTGGGTAACTGATCCTTGTTAAATGAACTTTTCTTGCCCTTTATGTATTCACCAGGAATATGCTTAATGAAAACAGAACTAGTAATACTAGTAATAAACCTTCTCTTTCAAATATACCCCTAAACCACTAAGTACCAGTTTCCAAACTCAGATAGAACCTATTAAGGGTGTGTCTGCAGAACATAATGAGACTTATATAAAATAAATAAATACACTTAAAAATAAAAGATGACTATTGAATGACAGAAGAAGCAAAATCACTTAGAACATGATGGAAATGTTTGCTTTGGGTTTATATTGGATCTGCATATGACAGACCTTTATCCACATTTTTAATAACCTGTATAGTTGTGTAGGGGCCAAATAATCATGAGATTTTTAGCTTGTCTGAACTTTTCAATTTCTTCTGTGAAATGGCCAGAAACCTTTGTCCCCCCCAAACATGGGAATGCATATATATAAAAAAGCCACAAAGAAATTTGGTTTCACTTAAATATTAAGATAACAGCTTTATCTCACATCCTGAAGCACAATCTGACTATTCAGAAAGACTTTGCACAGTAACGTGGAACATACTCCATGGAGAAAATGCCAAATATAGGGATGGCTCAACCACACCGATTATCTGAGTATGCTGTTTGGACAGCAGACTTTGTTGAGCATCAGCAGGTGTTTGTGATGGATGCTCAGTAGCTGTGTACTGCTTACTACTCTTGTGGTGGTTACCTTCCTGGGATTTATGAGCTAGTGTAGCTTTTATGTTGTCTGCAAAAGGCATCTCATTTTTCAGCTCATAAACCTTCTGTTAGGAGATCTGATAAGAACAAAAAACAAGTTTCAGATAGGATCAGTTTTATTTGGTTACCTTTAATTATAGCTCTACTTTAAAGCCATAATGATTAGAGCTTTCAGCAAAATACACAAAAACAGTTCTAGGCATCTAACAATTCATTAAAAAAAGAATTAAATCAGTATTTTTCTTTTTTTAAGTACAGTATATGAACTACAACAATGAACACATTAATGAGGATAAGAATTCACCAGTGCATTGAACTGACATCTACATAAAATCATCCCACCATTTAAAAGTTATTTATATTTTATGGCACTAAAATTGTCTCTCTGTATTTATTACTAATGAACACAGTGAATCAACCTATATACAAAAGGTGCATTATTGTATACAATAAACAATACAGCTAGATAGTATACAATCCTTTAATGGTCTATTGGAGCATGGGTAGCCCCACTAACAAAGAGTGTGGGAAGATATGATGATAATCATTTGAGATGAGGTAGCTACTTCTAGCTTGTATTTTGTAAGTGTGTGTGAGCCCTCTTTCCCTTTTTTCTGTAAAAATACAAGGGCGGTTGTCAAGATTTCAGGGCTAGTATTTTGCCAGCTTGGGCCAAGTTTTACCCAAGCTGGGACCCAATACAAGCATTAGCTATATAAGTTAGCATTAGCTGCTGTGCCTTGAGCACCCATGGGATTGGTTCTAGGTGGTGTTGACTCCTGTGGAACAGAGGCCCAGATAGTTATATGGACACTATTGTATTAGGACTCAGCTTGCTCCTGACAGCTTGCCTTGGAGCCTGGGCCTTCAAGCTGCCCATGCCTTGGCCTGTTGCAGTCTGTTCTGCCTCCTGATTTCAGACACTGATCCTAACCAGTGGACTAGTAGTTGGACATTGTAGAGGAAAGGTAAGCTTCTTTCCTGTTTAAATATTCCAACTTTTATTTAAAAAAAATATTGAACACACGCGCGCGCGCACACACACACACGCACACACACACACGGTTCAGGTAGAGCCACCCTATCACAAATGTTGTACTATGGCAGAAGAGAAGAGGAAATCACTAAGTAGGAACACCAGAAACCCATCATGGAGATAACAATACAGATAGTGAAGCACCAGCAGCGTAGTGCTATTACTAAGAAGCACTGCTCTGGTAGCAGGGTTCTGCATTCTGTGCCAGATAAAGTATTGAATTCAAAGTACCAAAGCAGAATACACATTTCAATATATTTTAATAATTTAATTTTGAGGTGACAAGGTTCCTTAAAAGGTTTGGAATCTCAGAAAATTGATGCTGTATTTATTTTATATGCAAAGGTCTAATAACTAACTAACTTCTAGAGCTACTTTATGAGACTCATTTTTCCTCAGTAGTTTTCATAAGGTCATGGCCATTAGTAGATATGAGTGCTCTCTTTCTTTGTAGAGCTTAAATCTGGAGGAAGAGATGCAAGAAGCTCCTTAGCAAGTCTCAATACCTGGCTTTCTTCAAGGCTCATTTCAAGTTTCCTACTAATAAAGGGTTTTTCTTGCTGCTCCAAGGGCTGGGAACTGAGGTAGGACCACTCAGCTCACAAATGCTTCTAAAAATAAATGGTTACTAGACTGTTCTGTAAGCCTTTCTGAGAACCTCAATGAAGTTTGTATGGGAGGTTCATTTATGAAACCAATTACTTTCAAAAAAGGTTCTATAAAGTTCTTGCAAAGTTGGGTTACCATGTAAATGTTTATGAAGTTTTGTTTAGAAAGGCTTATTAGCATGATGATCACATATATAGCCCCTTACCACTATACTAACTAGATAAATGGGCATTGTTATGTTAGCTAAAGTGGGTTAAGAAGGGGTTTCCTTTAGCTTTGCCAGGCCAAATATAGGAATCTGAGATTGGTATGTCAGATGTTCAGCTATCTTTCATAATACCTTTCATATCTTCTGTTTGATTTGTATGAGACACTATATTTGTGTTTGAATTTTTAGTTTTAGTTCCTGTAGTGTTTTGTTTTCCTGAGCAGCTTTGATTTGTCTGATAAAAAGAAATATGTACCAAAGAAGCTGAGCATATTGAACCATACGTCTCCTGAATGGTTGCAGTCATTTTTGATTACAGAAGGAAATTTATAGGAAAAAAAAATACCAAAAACAAAAATAAGTAATTTTGGAGTTAGTTTGTGGTGACGGAGAATATGTGTTCTCTTTGAAGGTGTCAAAATATTCTGGTACTGCTATCATTTTCAAGAATAAACTTTGCACAATACTTCTTGCTAGCAGGGAGGAAAGTAATAAAGTAGTGAGATGATGTAAACTCTAAACACCGTCAGGTTTTTCCTCCCACTTTTTCCCCATTCCTCCCTTGCATAGAATACATGCAAAGAAAAGTTTGGGGCTTTGAAATGAAACACATTCTACCACAGAAAAGTAATTCTGAAATCTGCTAGTGAACCAGTCAGAGCGCTGGAATTGTTCTTTCAATGAAGTTCATTTTTTACTTAGCTGTAGGTTTGGAAGCTCACTGCAGACTCCATCTGTATCAGGTTCTGGGAGGGGGAATCTGTTTTTTCCTATTGGTACTCCTTTTGCTGAATATTACTCCTTATGGCAATAAGAGCAGTAGGGAATATACGTCTTGACTGTCATTTGTGGAATTTAACCAGATTGTAGATATCCAATTAGCTGTTGGATTTGGTTGTGGTTAATATTTCTATTCTTGTTTGGCATGTAAGAAATCCTTGATCCTATTATATCTGTCCAAACAAAAATCTAGTTCTTCAGCAATAGAAGCCATCTTTGTAATCCAGGTCATTTTCGTAATCCAGAAAATACTTTGGCTCTTGGATTTTATGAGGGTTGGAGTGTTGTAGTCATGATGGTTCAGGAAATGTGTGAGAGACAAGGTTTTCTGTGTGCTATCTTTTATTGGACCATCTGTATTGTTGACAGAGATGCTGGGTTATCTTTCAGGCACAGATTGTCCTTGCTCATTGGCATTTTCTGGTGATCAGGTGAAAAAAGCAAACTAATCAATATGTATTTTTCTGATATTCCATTGGGAGACCCTGGTTATGGATATTCTCTCTTTCTCTCTCATATATATATCTCAACAGAGTAAGTATGGTGGGTAAACAGATACAGGTATTAATGAAAAATACATCAGTCATTTGGAGTTTAGACATAAATCGCATTTTCAATTGTTTGTTTCTTTTTTCTTTTTCTTTTTTTAAGGTAGCTGTTGAATTTCTTACAACTTGAAATTAACATGAAATAAATGGGACACTTGATTTTTAATATTGCTGTTTTTAAGGAACGTGTTTTTGCTAGAATATCTGAGATTGCTATATTCTGCCAACGTACCCAGTAAAGAACTGCTTCCTCTCTCACTAGTAAACAATAAACTCACTTGCATCCTTTATCGTGTAGTCTAAATTTGAGCTCCAGAAGATTGCTTGAACTTATTTCTGTCGCAAACTCTGGGAAAATGCCGATGCAAGTATGGTATAAAGATTCTGAAAATGGTTGAGCTACTGAGCGTTTTTCATGCGGAGACTGCTTCTGTTAGAGGACAAAACCCAACAAAATATGAGGAATTAAGATGAAAATGAAAACTAAATTATTAATATAACAAAGTACTCCTGCTTTCTCTGTGCACATTTCCAGATCTATTGGATTTTCTCTCATTGTTCTGCATAAATTGCTTCTGACTATACAATGGACTTCAGCAGGGCCGTAGCTTTCAGGTTCTTGATTTTTCATAATTCACTCAAATGCCAGCTCAATGACATTAAGTGGAAAAATAGAAAAAAATGCCTTCACTTTTCCGCAGAAACAATTTTGAAAATCCATTTACATGGAAAATAAAGAGACATTAAACCCAGTGCAAATCTGCAGCTGAATACAGAAACCTGAAAGCATAATATTTTATTTTTCCAGATAACACAATACAAACTGTTATTTACTGCCTGAAAGGGCTAAAGAGTTCTTAGTTCCATAGAAAGAGGTTGCTTTTCTAATTTACAGTGTGATAAAATCTGGCTAATAATACTTTTACATTTTTTAAAAGAAAATAATCCTTAAACATAGGCCTTCTCAGGAGAGTTTTAAGCAGTAGCAGGTATTAGTTAAGTAGCATTTCAATTTCATTCATTGGCGCTAATGCTTCCCAACCTGCTCAGCCCCTGAAATGACATCGTAACGTTCCCCTTCTTAGAAACTGTTTGCCACCTACCAGGCGGCAGTGCTTAGACAAGTTATTCTGGAAGATGTTTTGCTAAATAATATCATCAAAAACACAATTATAGGAGGAAAATAGGATTTTTTTTACTGAGGAAAAAACATCTCCGGTATGTCACTCGAATAAAAGGAAGTGGAAAAAACCTGTAATAAAAGTGTGCAATTACATGCTGTCTTATCACAGGATCTCAAAGCAATTGCTGAATATTAAGGGTCAGATCATCAGCTCATGTAAATTCTTGATTGCAATCAAAACACCTGTGTTTGATTTATATCCTGCAAATCTGGCGCATGTGAATTGGGGACACACGGTTCCTTGTTCATAAAGGTACCTATGGGACAAGGTTTCATCCTCCATTGGGCATAGATATCTAGCTACATTCCCTAAGTTCCATACAGGAGAACGGAGCGGTGGGGTCAGTGAAGAGTGGACAAACCAGTGGTTAAGTCTCCTTATAAAATTGGGGTGAGAACCCTGGTTCTCAGTGGCCACCTTGACACAAAATTGTTACTTTACATATAGGCAAGAAAGCTGAATCCATGCATCTAGAACAACCAGCAGGGATTGAAAATAACAATAATAATAGTAACTGCTGGTTTTTTATGAGGTCTGTGGACTAGAAATACCCAACCTTCTCTACTGTTTGGGGTTTTTTATTGTCTTTTCTATGAAAACTTCACCCCTTGCGTTTGAGAGGTGGTTAGCTGTGTTAGTCTGAAATCAGGTGCATATGACAAAGTAGGTTGTTTCCAGTAAAAGCTCAGACTTCTCTGAACCATTTAGTCTCTAAGTCACCCTGCCCTGCCTTCTGCCCCTGTATTTGGTGATTGCAAAATATGAGCAAGTTGCTTAAGCTTCCAAATATCCTTGTGAGGCTGGCAATGTGAGAGACATCACTGACTTCAAACTGACACAAAAAGTCAGAGGCAGAGCCAAGAATGAAATCCAAGACCCGACCCCCTCAGGCCTGTACTTTGACTACTGACTGTTCAAAAGATAAAGTTCTATAGAAAAAATAGTGCAGTGGGTACTGGAGCTGAAATATTGAGCAGTGTCTTTTAGGCCAGAGAATAACATGCACTGTACTTGCCAAAACATTAGGATGGAACTGGCATTAAAACAATTCTTCTCACACTAAATTTTGTGCCAGCAATTAATATTCATAGTATCAAAAGATTAAATTGTCTCATAACTGCAAATAAGGATCACTTATAACATTAACAAATAAGATGTAGTGCAAGTCATGCCAGATCATTGCCTCTACCAGCCGAGAAATGGTGGTATCCCAGCGTGATGCTGAAATCACTGAGATCTGTTGTTGTGATAATGAAGTGGTACTATGCTAATAATAGAAAACACTGTAAAAATAAAAATTGTATTAATAGCAGATTCAACTGGAAAATGAACTAATGTACACTGATAAGTAAAACTATGGTGTGGGTTATTGACTTCAGCTTATCATCCACAGCCTTTTGGAAAGCAGTGACCCCATTTTCTTTTCTACTTTCTCTTCTTATTCCCGTTTGCCACATTCTACTAAGTGATCCCATTCTCTTTCCAGCTCCCCCTTCTAGTTAGTCCCTTATGCCACATTTATTTTTCCTCCTATACTTCCCAAGCCTGGTAAGTTTATAGGTTCATATGAAAACCTCACCTTCATTTTAGCTCCCCACCCTGCAAATCCCAAAAAGGGATATAAAAGCTCATGAAATGGTTCTCTATCCTAGTTTATATAAATAGATAATGAAGGAATAGAAATTCTCACCCAGATTTCAAATTTCCCCAAAATATCACGGTTCAGGCTTTTTGTTAGTTTATTATCAGGAATGTGGCAGTTTTTCATAGGGATTCATATTTGCATTGCCTGAACATTTATAGGTGTTGGAATAAAGATTGTAGGTGTTGGAATAATGTCCTTTAAGTGGTGACAACAATATAATACAAGCGATTGTATATTATTAAGCAACCACTGTGTTGTGCAGGCAGTGAGTACAAACAAGTGTTCAAATGACCCAGCTTAGGTTAGGTGGCTTACTTTCAGCTGCCTAAACTTGACTTGGATTCTGTTGGGTGCAGTTGTTCATGTAGGTATTCAGGGATAAATAAGTTTTTTTAGGGGGGACTGAGGGATTTGGTTGGGGAGGGGAGCACAATTGACAGGTGAGCTGGCAGGTCTGTGAGGGGGCCATCCAATCTGGTGTGTGTCGGTTGGCGGGGATAAAAATAGCATAGTTAGGGTTATGGGGTATTAACACAACACAGCTTGGACTGTGGAGAGTGGCTGGGCTTTCTCAGCCCTGGGGCTGTGCTGGGGATGCATGAAGACATTC